GTTAAGCTCTGAGGTAATTAATAAGAGAGGTTTTGGTAGGCTTAGAGTGAGTTTAATTATAATATTCTTGATATTCTTCTGAATTGTTTTTATCCTTTTTTTTGATATTTTTTTGTGTTATTTTTACTAGGTTCGTCTATGTCGCATGTTTCCAGTGATTCTCAATCGTCTCATGTATACCAACGGTGGTCTTATTGGTGATAGACTTTTGTGTTTGTCACTTTGTAATATGCAGTTCACGGTATATTTTTATGCTAGATCCCTTATAGGAAGGTAGAAGTTTATAATCTCTCGAAAATTTAGGAGCTAAAGCTCTGCTATGATGTTTAACATAAGATTTGTCTCTTCATTTATCTCTCTCTACTGTTTCGTTTAGTGTTCAACATTTGTGTGTGTTAAACTTTAGAAAACGTACAAGAAACTCTTAAATGACGATTAGGAATCCAAAAGAAGCTCTTGGGTATGAGTTGAATCCACTCAAGTTTCAAGTCCGAAAAGTGGATGGTATCACAATAGCATGTTCTTTCTTTGGTTCTCCTAAATTACAAGAGCTGCGATTCTTTCTCCTAAAGCTTCAAGGCTGATATTTTCCTTTTTACTTATTTTCAGCGAGTTTATCAAGTAGCAAAACGGAATGGCACGCGAGTCTCGGTTTATTTAGATCCGGAATGCAATGATGATAGAAAATGCAACATAAAGTGAGATATTCATATCTCGAACGAATGCTTCCATTTTCTTCTTCTCTTCAAATGATCTTCGTCTGATTTTTTGGTAATGAAATAATATTTTAAAACACTGGTTCTTTTTTCTCTTTGTGGTCTTTTATGCGAGCATGTATGTTTTCACGCATAAATTGACTTTGCTTGCAAAAGCTCTGCATCTAAATATTGTCTAATTTGTTGGGGTTGTCACTCAAAAATTAAATTTTTAAAAACTATTTGTTATTTTAGCTTCAACAAAAGCTTGAAGAGTAATGATGGAGTCCTTAACCACACAAATAGCTTGCTTAAGCACATTCAATGGAAGAGGAGTTTAAGCAGTTGTTAGCTTCTTACAGGTTCTTACTTCTCCGCTTAACGAGTATTTTATGGGCTTTTTTTTACTGATCGTAAATTTTGATTTAAGGGTTTAGATTATGATAAATTATTGGCGATTTTTTTCATGAGCACTAATGGGATTAACGGATGCGGAATTTGATAATTTAGATGTGTTGAGGGATATAATACAAGGATACATTATTTTCAGAGTGTGATTGTTNTAANAGCTTAATTAATGGAGTTTTAATTTTNCAGTTATGTNGTGNTNNAAGGCAGCAAACCCTCATGATCTAATCTCGCGCACAAGCCTTAAGAAGACCAATATCACGATGAGTACGTAGAAAGAAAAGATTCTTATTAAGAATCTATGTCGTTTTCTATTATGGAATTCACTCTTTGGTTTGAAAGAAACCAGAAAGAGGGTCGTTCTTGAACCTTAGCCTCTTCAGGTATGTGCAATTACATCTTTACTGGAATAATGCAGAAAGTAAATTTGTTTAAGGGGGATTTTCTTTTTCATTGGTTCTTTCATGTCTTATGGAAATACAACCAAAAATGATTGGATTAATATTATGCGTCAGAATAAGAAGGAGAATATGAGGAAAGATGAATCATAAGAAGATGAAAAAACGAGTAAATCACAAGAAGCTGGTAGCTTTTCTTTGTTGTTGTTGCGTGTTTGTTCCAAGATCATGAATCTGTTAGTTTATATATGTATCTACTTTTATAGTGACATGCGATGTTCAAAAGTCTGCGAATGAAGGTTCTGCACCATTTCTAAAGTGATTTGTAGGTTTTAGAATCAAACAATATTTCCTATGAGAAACCAATTGCAGCTCTAGATTTTGGGTCCTTATGCCTGTCAAGTATGATGGCATGTAATCTATGAAACTTCTTTCTGTTCATAGATCTTATGAAATGCGTAAATTTACTATTTTGGTGTTATATGATTTCCATGCAATATTTCTAATTCGCACATTGAATAAGAGATTGGTAGTCCGTATATGATTGTCTCATTTTTTATTCAGGTTATTTAGGTGTGTTATTTTGTTTTCTACTCAAAATCTTTTGAAAACTCTTTAATAATCTTTATAAATTTAATTTACATGGTCATATTTAAAATTCTTTAGCGTATTTAAAAACATTATAAATTTTTATATTAGTATGTTATCATTCATTCTATGTAATCGTGTAAAATTAAGAAAAACAAATTTATTTTTTTTAAAGATGAAAAGTACGTTGAAAACGCTAGCATAGTAAAGTATCGGAGTCGTATATGCAAATATCATTCGTCATGTGTATTGGGCGGTGCCACAATCAAACATAGTGAACACAATAAAATGTTTAAAACATAGTTAACACAATAAAATGTTTTGACACCTAAC